TATGATAAATTATATTCATTATTTATATAAATGATATTGTGTACACTTTCAGTACAGAAACAAATGTTGTATATAAAGTAAAAGAATAAAATTTTATTAGTATTTTTGCATAAATCATATTAAATAAAAATTATAAACGTTTAATTGGTTCATTGTTAATAAAGTAAAAAATTATTATATTTATTATATATATTATAATGCTTATAAATTAAAAATTTAAAAAAAAAAATATTGGTTTAATTTTATATACACTTAAAGAAAAAATGTGCAATATGAAGTAACAAAAGAAAATACAAATTTTGCTATACAATTTGGATTAAATGCAACTGAATTAACAAGTAGTAAATTAGTATTGTTATTTATATTAATAATTGGAACTGAATATCTAATGAGTAAATGTCAACTGATTTTCAGAATATTATGAATGATGAACATCATTATATTATTATACTTACAAATACACTCGCTACAATATTATCTATTTCCTTATATAACATTATCATTTTCAATATACGTGGCCAATAAGAACAGATTTGTACTTGCATTGAAATTGTTAAGTTAACTCCAATCACTTCGCACAGCCCAGTATAGTGTGTTTTCATATTTTTTGTTTTTGTTTTGTTTAAAAATACAATTTCTCATTGGATGGCAGCATTCTTATCAAAAAGTTGGCTTGGAGAATGTTGTAATGACATTTAGGAAGAGATTAAGGACTTTCTAGTAGATACTAATTTGTTAATAAATATGTGAAATTGTTCCAATTGTTAATGTGAATATCACAGAGGCTTGATCGGAATATAGTTTTGTAGGAAAATAGGTATCTACATTATGATGATAGTAAAGATTAAAATACTCTTAATATGGGAAAGTTCTTAAAAATGCAATACACTATACATGGGCTAAACGCATTACAACACACCTCCCTTCACCTGGTCATTAGAATTATGTATTCATCAATATCTAATAACTTGTTGAATGTGCGGTAATATGGAGTATTTGTAACATTCGCTATTGAAGTAACTGTCGACTGCGAGTGATATTGCTAGAGCCAGAAGTAAGAGAAAATGTGATGGGGATTTCTTTTTTATTATCATTTAATATTCCCTTATAGTTACTTGGGCCTAGATCGCAGCGGTTGCTACCTGCGTGAAATCAATCCATTGCTTGTTCCTACTGTTGGTGTCATTTCGAGTTCCACTAATAAAGGAAAGTGATCTAAAAAATGTTAATTTGTAATTATAAATATTCAATCTTATAATAAGTTATTAAATACATTTTATATATAAGATAAAAAAAATTTTTTTTCATTATTTATAAAAAAAATCTTACCAGATGGAACATGTGGATGTGGACAACCAACTACTTTATGTTCTTTAAACCAATCTGCACTTAAAGGACCTAAAAGTCCTAATGGTACCATGCTTTGTTTCGAATAGAAAATGTAATCTATTATACCTTTGAATTCGAATCTATAAAAAAAAAAAAAAAAAAGAAAAAAATTCTTAACTTTTATTTTATATAAAATGAAAAAAATATATTAACATAATATATAAAAAACTTACGTATAATTAGTATAGGGCATAATATCTTCACTATATGCAGATGCAAGTTTAAAAGAATGAGTAAATTCATTAGGTTTATCGCAACCAGAGATCTTTTGTAAGCATGATTTGTAAGCTAAGTCTTTAAAATCACGGTGATCAGCCGCTACTCGTCCCGAAGTAAGAAATTCAATTACACCTAAACAGATTTTTAAATATATAAAAAATACATACATAAAATATAAATATGAAGAAATATGAGGTAATAATAATAATAAAAAAAAATAATAATAATAAATAATAAAAAAAAATTTTTATATTAGAAATTTTTATATATTTAATAAAACAAATTAGTAATTATATGAAATAATATTAATATTAAATTTATTGATATTTAAAACAATACTTAATATATTTATAAAATTTTTCAAATATTAATAATTATATATATAAAATAGAACATCTAAAACAGATTTCTTGAATAAGTCTTTTTATAATAAAAAAAAATATGTCAAATTAATTTATTTGATTTTCAGAAGAATATAATCTTGATAAGTATAATTTTTTTATAGGTGAAGATTAGTTTCATTTTTTTAAAATTTGAATATGTTTTTGGATTTATTTTCTGATAGATTATCTTTAGATCAACATTATAATTGATATTGAATAAGTTATTGTATTCATTTTTAAACATCAAAATATTTTATTCGTCTTAAAACATTAGGAACTATAAATAAAAATATAGATTTATAAAAAATTTAAGAACCAAATTTAAATCATTTAAAGTATTTTTTCTATTATCGAAAGTAATTTTTATTCAAATGATGTATTTTATTTTAATTACTATTTTAATTATTTTAAACATTTAATTTTATTTTAGATGTTCCATATGTTAATAATATATATTAAAAGATAATAGATTATAAATATACACATATATATATTATAAAAAATTAATAAATAAAATATGCTTTACCAGAATCAGGTAAGGAATTGAAATCACCACAAAGTAATAATTGAACATTGGAAGAATCAGGCTTGTGACCAGGTCTGAAAGACTGGCCAGCTTGGTCCAAAATGGAACGTAATTCATTACTGAGCATCATTGTTTGTATTAATTTAACGTCACAAAATTCTGGATCCCAATGGATGTGTGCTGTGCAAACTAAAATTGGTTGTTGAACTTGTGCTGGATCAGATGGAAGGCCTGAAAAATATAAAATTAATAAATAAATATATATATAAATATAATTAATATATATATATAAATATAATAAATAAATATATTTTTATTTAAAAAATTTATATATTTATATAAGTAAATTATAGCTGATAATAAATTTTTTACAACATATATAATCAATTATATATATGTATAGAATTAATTATATAGCATGGTATATTTTAATATTAACATAGTTTGTAATATAATCAGAAACATTATTTCTCATTAGCAAAATTTAAAAAAATTTTAGATATGTATATGACTCAAAAAAAAAGATAGATTTTTAGTCATCATTATATTTTTAATTAGTGATCATGAAAATTCAGCGAGAAAAAAAAAGTTATTGATAAAATTAGTTTATCTAGGTAAAGATAAAGATCCACTTGTTTCTTTGCAGAAATATATTACAGATTCAACAAAAAACGAATGATATTAAATAGTAAAAATAAAATGATTGATTCATTGAAATAAATATTCTCATGATAAAACTGTTGAATTGGCTTATACAAGGATCGGTAGAATATACATATCAATATGTTTCAAGAGCTCAATTATATAAATGAATTATTTTAATGAAGGAAAAATTGTTAAAGAAAAAAACAAATAGTATTCTTGTAAGTGTACTCTTAAGTTTTTGTAATTTTTAAGAAAAGCGGAGTTTAATATGAAAAAAACAATAATTCATCAAAAACGTTGTATTTTCGAAATGAAATTCTGATTACTAAAAAAAAATGAATATCCTGGTTAATAATAATAATGTATAAAATTTGTATGGTCAAGTAGAGATCATTTTCAAATTTTATTTTATTTTTAGATTATCTATATAATAGTTATATTTATAATACTTATATTTTTCTTTAATTTATGAAAAATAATAGATAAATTTTATCAATTATTTATTAAGAATCATAGAAATTTTTTTCAATATTGATTTTAACAATGTCTACAAATTTAAAATTGTTAATTTAAAATTGTTGAAAAAATATATATATTATCGTTTTTTTATTAAAAAATGGCTGTCAAAAAATAAATATATAAAAATTTTGATGAGATTTTATATATGATTTTAATTTGTAATAATGAATCATTCGATTAATTATAAAATAATTAATGCTGTATGTATTAATGATAAAAGTAATTATTTCGAACATTTAATTTAATTTTAATAAAATAATATTACTAATATTAATATTTATTGATCAAATATAAATTTTTAAATTCAAAGTGTTAGTCAATTTTAAATCTGTAGTATATTGGAATATTTTTCTTCTTGATGTCAAACAATATAATGAAACTACAATATAATGAAATGAAAAATATATAGTATTTACAAAAATATGATTTTGGGAAGAATTTTTCATTTTTATATATGAGTTTTCAAGTAATAGTATAATGTTCATTATAAGAAATTTTATAACAGAAAATATAATAGAAATATTTTGAAATATTTTTTTTATGGTTTATTTTTTGTGATTTCCTTTTCAAATTAATTTTAGTTATTTATTCTTAAAAGAAATTATTAAAAAAATTATTAATATCCATATGAAGAAAAAATACATTTAAGGATAATTTTAAAATTGAAATGTTAATAATTTTTTGAATATCAAAATTATTGATTTTATTAAATATTGTAATTACATTCTTTTTATTTTTCTATAAGATAAAAAATTAATTATCAAATTATTTATAATACAAATATTTTTATTATATTTATAATAAATACTGAAACATGAATGATCATTAAACACGTATTTTAAAATTTTTATGAACTTGAAGATTAAATTGATAAAAAATATTTTTATATTGTATAAATTCCTGTATATAAAAAAATTTACTTTGTCAAAATTAAATTATAAAGTCTAGGTCTTCTTTGTTCATTAATATATCGCTTAGACTAATGTCTTCTCATATTTTTAAATATTTAATAATAATTATTAATAATGATCAAATAAAATTTATTTCTTTATAACTTTATAATTTTTTAAATTTCATATAAAAATGAATATGTCAATAAAACAAATATTTTTATAAGAATTAACAAAAAACTTAAAATGTGAAATATACATTTTAATTGTCATTACATATAAATCTATATTTATATATTTATAAGAAATGATAATTAAATAACAATTTTAATTTTTAATATATACTAATTAATACTTAATAATTATTCATATTATATAAGTGATATAATCATATATTATTTATATGTATAGCACATATTATATTAAATTATATTACGTATATTTTAAAAAATGAGATTTTTTTACATAAAAAATTCTTAAAAATGAATGAATTTTATTTTAGAATATTATTATTAATGTAAAAACCCCATAAAGTAGACCACAAGGATAAGCAATAAGTAGTCGCTGATTTTCTTCTCCTGACATAGTTGTAAGAAGTCTAGATGCAGAAAGTGTTGACCAAGCAACAGCAAACATAGCAAGGACTAAACCAATTGTAGCCTGTAAAGTTGTGAAAATACTAAGACCAGCAAGAACTACTTCTGGTAATAAACAATAACCCAATACAGATGCTACAGAAGATAATGTAATATTAGAAGTACTCATTAATGATTGAAGAATATACATAAAAATGCATGAAGTCATTGCTAAACCATAAATATAACCAAAATGTGCTTTTGAACCAGCTAATGTAAGAAATGTAGCAAGTATTAAACAAAATGCTACTGGTCCTGCTAAATCTGAATCTTGAAGTAAATAATTTGCATCATCTATTTGTCCTTTTCTATGAAATGGATTTAATACAGCTAATGTTTTTTGTAATATTCGATCTGGATCTATGCCTAATTCTTCTAAGAGAGGTGGTTCTTCTTCTTCGTCTACAAATCCGGTTGATCCTAGAATTTATATATTAAATCTAATAAAAATTATCTAAATAAATGCAATATTTATTTTTTTATGATTGTACGAAATTTTTTTGAAATCATCTTGATAATACCTACCACCAGTATATGCACTTTGTGTAGGATCAAGATAACTTTTTTGTGTGTAAGAAAAATCTCCAGATTGTTGATCATTATATGTTTGAAATTCAAATTGTTGGTTAGGTTGTCCAAAACCAGAAGGATCAAAATTATATTGTCCTTGGGGAGATTGTCCCCAATAATTGTCTGTTCCCGTATAACCAGACATTTGTTTGATATTTTAATTTATATAAATCTATTATTTTTTTTTTAATTTAAACTTCTTTAATCCACCAATCATTCACATATATTAGGATGATAAGTAATGACAATATAAATATTAGTTCTTACATGTGCCACACGATGGCGCAATTTAAAAAGAATTAAGAATCACAAAAATAAGCAAAAAAAAATATATGTTAAATTTCTACATTATCCTAAAAAATTAAATTAATATGGATAAATATTTATTTATTAATAATTTATATTAATAATTGTGTGTTATTTGAATTTATAACTTTTTTATATTATTTTATTTACTTACTTAATATTAATTTAATTATTTAAATCATCATATCATAATAGATAAATTATTTTATTTATTTCTTTTTAGATATTTTTTATATTTAATTATTTTATTGGTATTTATTATATATAATAAAAATTAAATTTATTATATTAGTTATATGTCAGAAATAAAAATTTATTATTTATTATAAAAATAAATAACATTTTACATACAAGCAAAATTATTTTATGTATGATTGTAATAATGATTAATATTAATATTCAAAATTTAGAATTAAAGAATAAGAATGTAACAAAGAAATGTATTTTATATATAAATATATATAAATATAAATATAAATATAAATATATATATATATATTTTTTTAATCAACTTGTTTTGATATTTAATAAAATACATAGTTTCAAATAGAAATGTATAAGCACACTTTTTATATCAATGACACATGCAAAAGAAAATAAATGCGATAAAAAGAAAAAAAAATTAAACATAAGTATAAAGATATATTTTTTTCTGGATAGATATGTAATGTGTACAAATACATAGCTATTTTATATTATTTTCAGATATTTTCTTTCGAGCTAATATGTTCATAAAAAAGTGGATTGTGTGACATGTAGAGGAATGTTTACTAGATAGCTACCTGATATAGAATTGGCAGCTTAATATCTGTATGTCATGAGTTATAAGACTTGCTTGAGTGTATCTAGTCTACGAACTTGTGCCACTTCATCTTCTTCAGCAACTTTTAAATATGCTCTTTGCATATGATTTACGCTGGCATAAGTATGATTTGCAATTAATTAAGCATCTTCGATATCAACATATCTATATATTATCTATTTTGTTGGTTTTGCAATTTGAACATTTTTATATTATGATCAAAAATATCATTTGATATTTAATATATATTTTCGATTCATTCGAGTTTAAATGAGATTATGATCTTACAACTCTATTAAAATAATGAAATTGCAATGAATAATAATGCAATAAATTATAAATTCATTCATATAAGAATATTCATTTATTATTTGAAAAATAGGAAAAAATCACAATAAAATTATTATAAATTGTTTTTTTAAAAGCTAAAAAAATATTAAATTTTTTTCTTTTTCTAATCGAATGGTACAAAGATTTAGGCTATGTAAAAATATATAACAACAAATTTTTTGAAATGACATTTGAAAAGAATAAATTTATTCCTTATTTTTTATGAATAGAAGATACTAATTTTTTATTATTCGAATTGATTATGTTAATTATTAGAAATAAATTTTATATTATTTTTATATTTTTATATTTTTATATATTACTTACCGTTATCCCAAGCAGCCTCCTTGGTCCTAAGCAAGGCAGCCAATCCAATATTATCTTTTGGCATGACTCGATTCAACATATTGTCAGAACCTTCCGCATTCGCCATTGCCAATTGATTAAATTCAACTAAATGCTCTTTTATTAGTGTAAATCTGTTAAAAAAACAAAAATAAAAACAAATCTATTAAAAAGATATATATATGAAATTATATTTTTATTAAATATGTATATATAAAAATATAAATATGTATATATAAAAATCGATTAAAGTTTATTAATTAAATTATAAATTCTCGATTACATTTTAATTTCGTTTTACTTTATCTAAAGCAATAAATCACTTTTAATTATATTATATTATTGCTTATAAATAAGTTAAGCTCAAATGAAATTTTTGTAGATTAATTTTTAATGTTTCCTTAAAGTTGTAATCCTTAAAGTTGACACTCTAAGATGTTCCGAATATTAATATTTTTTATGTGTTCTTACTTATATTTATTTAATATTTTTCGAAAAACAAAGATAATTTTCAATTTTTTAGATAAAATATAATTCTTCGATCTATAGATTGTATTATGTCATATGTATAAAATTAAAGTAGCCATGTATATATCCTCGAATTAATCTTTTGTTATTTAATCTCCTTTAATTAAATCTTTGTTGTTAAATGCTGCAACTTTGTCGAAATTTATAATATTTAAAATTTATAATAGAAGTTATAATGTTATAATGTTATAATATAAATATTATAGAATTAATTTATAGATGTTATAGAGTAGCAAAAATAAATGAATCTTCTTACGAACTTTTCCTTACATTATTTCCAAATAATATACATATATAATAACATGTATAATAATATATTTTTTTTAATTTTGTTCTCTAATTAAAATTAAAGCAATGAAATTGGGAATTTTTTTCAATTAAATTTTTTTACATATATTTATTTTATTTGCAAGAATTTTTATAAAAAATTATTTACAAAATTTTATTATTAAAGTTCAAAATATTTATATTTATATTTTCAAATTAAAAAACTAATTTAGTTTTAGTTTTAATAAATAGTAAAAAACTTTTAAGTACGAAAAATAAATATTTTGATGTATATATCAAAATGAATTCAATACATAACATTCTTAAAACTATTTTAAAGATCATTGTAAATAAATAATTCCATTTTTATTAGAATTTCGAACAATATGTAATAATTAAAAGTAAACGATTTTTTTCGTTATTAGATAACAACATTATTTATTATTATTAATGTTATTCTTATTGAACTACAATAATTAATTTATTATAATTTAAACATTATATTATTTTTAATGTTAATCTAAAAAAAAATACTAATTAAAATTTTCATCAATAATAATGGTTAAATATTTATAAATAAAGTTATTTAAATTAATTATAAAATATTATACTAATTATTATAATATCTTTTTAGATTGATTAAATGATTATAGTAATGAAATTTGAAGTTAATATTAAAAATATTTAAAACGATGATTTTATAATATACACAATACAGACATATGTTTCAAACAGAATAAAATAAGTTGTGGCAAGAAGAAAGTACGAACTCGTTAAACAGTGGTCTTTCGTCTTTGCAAAGATTAGATTGTTAGTCTTATATTGGCATCGCATTCATTATGCGATCGGGATTTTGCGGCGAATTAAGTATATAAAATGTCTGACAGTTGCAATGGTTGCGTCGGCCTTTAAAGAAATTCTGCTCTTAGAATCTACGCTAGTGGATATAGTACCTTTCGTTGCACGTTAGCTGTTAACAGAGCCCATTTGTGCAACCAGACCATTTCTGTCTCGTATCTTGTTATCCCTTGAGATGCGAGCGGAGATATCTAATATTTCCACCACTCTCCCCCTATCTTTCTGTCTTGGGTTACAAAATTTAGAATGAACTTTATAAAGTTAATTCTGACCTATGATATACTTGATACTGAAATTCTATCTATATGAATTCTCAATGAAGATAATTAAAGAGATTGACTAGATCGTAACTAATCTAAGTCATTTGGAAATTTATCAACTCATCGTTTTTTCTTTTTGTTGAAAGACGGTACATTGAAAGAATTGTTAATAAATTCTATTTAATGCAGATAAAATAATTTTAATTCTAATTTTTTTATAATAAAAAATATATTTCATTATTCAAAGTTGATTATCAAATACAAAGAATATGTTTTAAAATATTCTTATATAATATTTCTATAATATTTTATATTAATTAAATTATATACATATATTATTGATGTATTATTGTTGTTGTTAATAAATGTAAATAGATAAAGTGAATTTTAGATATACGAAATATTAACATGTTTGTGAAATATTTTTAAAAAGTTAGTTCAAAAATTTGTTTGATATATAGAAATATTAATTGAGTTTTAAGTATTTGAAATTTATGTTATATGAAGCAAAATATATATAAAATGAAATATAGATAATATAAAATATAGATAAAATGAAACTGTTCTATTTCCATCATACTCGTCGTCATCGTCGATTTAATATGTCTGTGTCTCATTTTATTTAAAACTTCAACTATTTATAAATGTCTCAAGTACATCATAATATTTTTGTACATCAATTTTTGTGTTTATTTTCTCTAGAATCGATCGATAATTTACGAATATATTAATACATTGTATTCATGAATTTTTCAAATATTTATTGAAATATTTACTTCTTTTTGGTTTATCTTTATTTGTATAACTTTCTAATTAGTTGTTTTATTACCAATTAATAGGAATTATGTATTTAATTTTCTCGAAAATGGAACTTCAAATTAAATAAATATAAATAAATATTTAAATATATCTTAAATGCATACATACACATAAATTAAGTGTTTGATAATTTTTCAAAATAAGTGATATAATAGATCAGATTCAGTGTAAAATGATAATGTTGAGATCATAAAAATCTATAATATGTAGTATAATTTAGATTTATATTACTTAATGCATATGGCATTAATAAAAGAGATGAAATAATTATTAAGATATAATACTGTATATAAAGAACTTTTTCTATTTTGAGAAGAAAACGAATAACGAAAAGAAAATGATTTATTAGAAAATTGATTGATTTTGTAATTGATTGTATAATTAATATTTGTTATAAAGTAAAATTTATAATGATATTTTGTATATCATACAATGAAAATCTCAACTGATAATTAAATAAATATAAATAATGAAATATATTCGAATTATAACAAAGATTATCGTATATATATGTAAATATAAATATATTGCATATATAATCTTATATGATTAGATTTATAATTAATTTTAATTCATTGTTTTTATATTAATCATTTATAATTTTAATTTGAAAATTAAATCAATTGTGTTTAATATTTAATGAGAGAGGAAAGAAGTATTGTATTGTTAATTGCTTCAATCTGTTCAAACTATCAAATTATTATTAACTATTTTATCAATTAATTCATGA